TCCCATATCCCATATACATATATATACATACATATACGCGTATATAACACCATAACATCATCACGCCTCTGTGGGCATCCCATCATATCATCTCGGCCACTGTGGGCAAATCATCAACGTATACCAACTGATCAAGTGGTGGTGCATATATAATGTCGTAACCTCTTCCCATATTTCATATACATATATATACATACATATACGCGTATATAACACCATAACATCATCACGCCTCTGTGGGCATCCCATCATATCATCTCGGCCACTGTGGGCAAATCATCAACGTATACCAACTGATCAAGTGGTGGTGCATATATAATGTCGTAACCTCTTCCCATATTTCATATACATATATATAGATATAAACACGCGTATATAACGTCATCTGATCATAGGTCAATGTGCATGTATAAATGCATGAAACGCATATGAAATACGTTAAGAAAATCTGTCAGTACGTCATAAGACCATTATGCCTCTGATTAATATCATGAAATAAACATTACCAACTTATGTATTTTTGAGACCGATGAACAGATGATAGAATAAAAATACATATGGGGAATCAAGAACATAGGAACCTCTAGCATTTCTATGAATAGAGTCATTTATGGAAGTTGTGCATTTATTCGTTTCATTTGTATCGTACAGATCATGCCAAAACAAAAGGGAAGAAGGAATAGCCTTAACGTATCTGAGTTGGTTCTCTTGATCCTTGGAAATATCGAACAGTAAGCAAAACATTGCTTCAAGTAATATTGCAACTGATTATAGCTTAACCTTAGTGCAGGTAAGATATCATAATTATCCTGTTATAGCTGCCATAACTCATCATCTCTCACTTTTAACCGTTCCCTTTCATCAGTTGTCGCATATAACATACTACCTAGAGTCTTCGCTGCGAAAGGCACTCCTTTGCATTTCTTTACAATATCTTCTCCAATTTTAGTTAGGTTCGGAAAATGTCTCTCTTGTCCATTTCTAAACGCCTATTTCAGAAACAAGGAGAAGCAATCCTCATGCGGTAGTTCTTTCAAGCAGTATGTAACAACAGATTCCATCATCGAGGCAATATAATATATACGAGTGGTTAAAACAACCTTGCTTCCACGCGCTCCAACCATCAACAAACTTCTTAATTCTAACCACTTTAAACGATCTCGACTCAAATATCATCAATGATGAGTAGAAATCTGTTCGCACGCAAAGCATCTTGAAGTGAAGAGTGCACTTGTTTAATGTTAAAGTTATCACACGATACACCACTCGCCAAATTAACAATGTTCCTAGCCAACTTTATGACATCAAATCCTGTGAGGCACACAACCAAATCCTCAAAGTAAAATTCTTTACTATCCTCTCATCTCTGTACACTAATTTAGCAAGTGTGATTTTCCCCAGACCTCCAATTCCAACAATTGAAACCACAGAGAGACACTCATCAAAATCATTTTCTTGCATTAGAACTTCAACATCTCTTCACTCTTATTACTCCTTCCAACATCTCGAAGTATAAAGGAATATGTCAAATCCCTTTTCATTTCTAAGGCAATAGTTCTCTCAGATAAGTGAAATTTAGCTTTATCAACTGCAATACTATCTAACCTCTCCCTTATATCTTTCATCTTATGACTCATTTTGTATCTAAAAAGAATCAGTTTAAAGGGTGAGAAAAAAACCCAAACTTGGATTTAAGCCTTTGCCTTTGTTGACCATAAGTCTGAATGTCATCAAGAAAATCATCAGCAGCATAAAGTAATCTTTAAGTTCCTCAAGCCACTTTGTCAGCTCATGATACTTGAATTTTTTTCTCTTGATCATCTAAGAGTACATCTCTAATGGTAATTAAGGTTTTCTTTAGTTTGTTCTGCTCATTTTTAACACCCCAAATTAAGTTAAATTCTTAAAGTGCATTTGATCCTAATTTTCCTAAGATGGAGTTTACAATATTGAAGAGAAAAGATTCTGCTGCCATAGTCATTCAGAAGGTGTGAAAAGGTAAATGGAACGAAAATGTTGGCAGTGTAAAACAGGCAAAAGCTGTATAGAGGCAGTTTTGTTGTTCCTGTGAGTTTGTAACAACTGAGAAGGAACAAGGAAAATGAGCTGGATTCCTTTAATTTTATCCTTAAATATTAGGTGGCCTTACTTGAGTAATGCTTGGTGTCACATTTCTTTCAAAGTGTGACACCTTGCATGTTTTATTACTTAGTCATTAAATCTTATCCCACTCTTTAATTAATTACCTAATAATTAATCAATTACCCACATAATTAAGGATTATCTCAATTTAATTAAAATACTACTCATTTTTAATACACTTTTTATAACTTACCATCTTGGTCATGTGGTACCATATAAAATAAATTCATACACTATTATTTTATTAAAATATTCATGTAAAAATACATATATTTTTCTCAACTTATAATTTTCTTAATCTCGTATAAAGAGTACAAATTTTCGTACGCTTAATTCTTAAAATGGTAAAAACGACAACCTTCTTTTTATGTGAGAAAATAATTTATATCTTTATAAAAATAATCTCATAACATTCTCATATTGTACGTATAATTTAAAACATATTTGAAAGTAGTAATATTAATAACTATATAAAATCATATTTTTTAAATTATTTTTTTTCAAAATGTATTCCACTTAATATACGAAATCAAATATATATTATGGTAAGTTTGTTAAACTTACGGGGTGTAATATCCTTCCCCCCTTAAGAAATTCTTCCTCGAATGTTAACTCTTAGAGATTTGCAAAATTTTCACTAGGGTCTCCTCTGTAATTAAACTAAAACCTAAACTTTATTTGAAGTCTCGACTATTCACGGCATTTCGTACTTGAGTGTCTCATATTTTATTCACCTTTAACTTACTTAATTTTAAATCTCGCATCGTATTTGTTGTTTCTTTCATAACCTCCCTTCTACATTACTGCTTAAAGCTCTACTGTGATACCTGCATCTCTGGTACATACAAAATCTCGCGATAAATTTATACTGACTTATTACAACTCAGCTCTATGGCTCGATCTGGAAACAAAAGAAAAGTAACATTTCCTAAATTCCATATAGCCTCTCAATTATAAATGTGGTGCGCAACACACTTATAAGTAAGACTCTACCAGACACGGTTTTGTAGACTTCCTAGGACAAAACTGTTTTAATACCACTTTGTCATGCCCCGAAACATGAAAGGCGTGACTGGCACCTGGTGTCATAGTGGTGAGAGCAAACCACTCTGTAACTTATTCATTTGTTTTGTAACTATCATGGTCCAATATGACCACAATTCGTAATGTACAAGTGTAAGTAAATTTTTGCCACTCGATCTACACTTGATCTCTTAAGATCACAGGAGACGAGACTTATCTACCATTTGCTGAATATTAATTTATGTATTCAGAGTTCTAAAACTAAAATTAAGAGTATCATTTGCAAGCACGTTGAAGTGAATGCAAAATACTAACCGATCTGTCATATTACCATTTCATCAGAATATCTACAGTATTTCGTAGTAATTTTAATTCTCATCCTTCGAAAGATCCAAAATAATATACATGCTTCCCTTGAAGTGGCATGACTTAAAATTCTATTTACAGCAACTATACATTTTTTGCCTCTTTAGTTCGCCCCTACAAAGATGAGAAACGAGGTTTCTCATAACAAAGATCAGTTAATTGGGTCCCAACAAAAGGGCGTCAGTACGAATAATGTACTGAGTATGTAAGGCAGAACTGCAACATAATAGTAAATCAACATTAATTAAGGACATGGAAGAAATATGGAGTAAAGGACTCAACCTGTAAGTTTGGATAGCCCTGTAAATTATGAAATATTTATCGTATCATGCATATGTGTGTGAATATCATGTAATGCATAGGTCTGTACGTACATAATAATATCATATAGCCTCTGGGGGCATCCCATCATATCATCTCAGCCATTGTGGGCAAAATCATCATCGTATACCCGTTGATCAGGTGGTGGTGTGTATATAATGCCATAATATTTCCCATATCCCATATACATATATATACATACATATACGCGTATATAACGTCATAAACATTATCACGCCTCTGAGGGCATCCCATCATATCATCTCGGCCACTGTGGGCAAATCATCAACGTATACCAGCTGATCAGGTGGTGGTGCGTATATAACGCAGTAACCTCTTCCCATATCCCATATACATATTTATAGATATAAATACACTTATATAACGCCATCTGGACATGGGTCAATGTGCATATATAAATGCATGAAATGCATATGGAATACGTTAAGAAAATCTCTCAGTACGTCATAAGACCATTATGCCTCTGATTAATATCATAAAATAAACATTATCAACTTACGTATTTTTGAGACCCATGAACAGATGATAGAATAAAAATATATATGGGGAATCAAGAACATAGGAACCTCTAGTATTTCTATGAATAGAGTTATTTATAGAAGTGGTGCATTTGCTCGTTTCATTTTTATTGTACGGATCAAGCCAAAAAAAAAAAGAAGGTATAGCCTTAACATATCTGAGCCGATTCTCTTGACCCTCGGAAATATCAAACAGTAAGCAAAGCATTGCTTCAAGTAATAAGGAAATTGATTATAGCTTAACCAAAGTGCAGGTAAGATATCATTATTATCCTGTTTTAGCTGCCATAACTCATCATCTCTCAATTTTTACCATTCCCTTTCATCAGTTGTCGCATATAGCATACTACCTAGAGTCTTCACTGCCAAAGGCACTCCTTTGCATTTCTTTACAAGATCTTCTCCAATTTTAGTTAGGTTCGGAAAATGTCTCTCTTGTCCATTTCTAAACGCCCATTTCAGAAACAAAGAGAAACAATCCTCATGCGGTAGTTCTTTCAAGCTGCTTACAACAACCTTGCTTCCACGCGCTCCATCCATCAACAAACTTCTTAATTCTAACCACTTTCAACGATCTCGATTCCAAACATCATCAATGATGAGTAGAAATCAGTTCGCACGTAAAGCATCTTGAAGTGAAGAGTGCACTTGTTCAACGTTAAAGTTATCACACGATACACCACTCGCCAAATTAACAATGTTCCTAGCCAACTTTATGACATCAAAATCCTGTGAGGCACACAACCAAATCCTCAAAGGAAAATTCTTTACTATCCTCTCATCTCTGTACACTAATATAGCATGTGTGATTTTCCCCAGACCTCCAATTCCAACAATTGAAACCACAGAGAGACACTCATAAAAACCATTTTCTTGCATTAGAACTTCAACAATCTCTTCACTCTTATTCCTCCTTCCAACAACACCTGGAAGAATAAAGGAACATGTCAAATCCCTTTTCATTTCTAAGGCAATAGTTTTCTTAGATAAGTGAGATTTAGCTTTATCAGTTGCAATACTATCTAACCTCTCCATTATTTCTTTCATCTTATGACACATTTTGTATCTAAAAAGAATCAGTTTAAAGGTTGAGAACAAAAACTCAACCTTGGATTTAATCCTTTGCCTTTGTTTACCATAAGTCGGAATTTCATCAAGAAAATCATCAACAATATAAAGTACATCTTTAAGTTCCTCAAGTCAATTTGTCAACTCACGATTCTAGACTTTTTTGCTCTTCAGCATCTAAGAGTACATCTCTAATGGTAATTAAGGTTTTCTTACTTTGTTAAGCTCATTTTTAACACCCCAAATTAAGTTAAATTCTTGAAGTGCATTTGATCCTAATTTTCCTAAAATGGAGTTTACAATATTGAAGAGAAAAGATTCTTTTAGAAAGTGTGAAAAGGTAAAGGGAACGAAAATTTTGGCAGTGTAAAATAGGAAAAAGTTTATAGAGGCAGTTTTGTTGTTCCTGCAACTTTGTAACAACTGGGAAGGAACAAGGAAAATGAGTTGGATTCCTTTAATTTTATCCTTAAATATTAGGTGGCATGTGATGACCTTGGGTCATCACTTGTTTTAAAATGAAATTCTGCATTTCGAGGCCTTAAAAACCTCTTTTAGCATTACCTCGATTTGTGTGCGTAGTCCAGGCGCGTAACCAGAGAGCCTAAATGTGAAAATCTATGAAAAATGATAAATTTTGACTATAAAAGAATTAATTTGACTTTGGTCAATGTTTTGGGTAAATGGACCCGGACCCGTGATTTGACGGTCCTGGAGGGTCCGTAGAAAAATATGGGACTTGGGCGTATGCCCAGAATCGAATTCCGAGTTCCCAAGCCCGAGAAATGAATTTTTAAAGAAAATTATTTCCTGAAATGGTTTAAAGGTTTTGGAAATGAATTTTTATTAGAACGTGTTGGTATCGGGCCCGTATCTTGCTTTCGGTGCCCGGTACAGGTCTTATATATCAATTAAGATAATTCTGTGAAGTTTGGTAAGAAACGGAATCCGTTTGACGTGATTCGGACCTTAAATGCAAATTTGATGCTTAAAGGAGTTTTGAGAAATTTCATTGATCTTGAGATTTAATTCGATGTTCGTGATGTTATTTTGGTGATATGAGTACATGAATAAGTCCGTGGGATATTTTTTAAGTTGTGTGTATATTTGGTTTGGAGCCCCGAAGGCTCGGGTGAGTTTTGGATAGGCCACGGGGTGCATTTTGAACTTAGAAAATTGCAGAATTTTATCTGGTGTGCCCAGGCCTGCAGGCGTCGCATTTACGATGCCTGGCTCGCAAATGCGAAGGCTGGATTGCAAATGCGAAGAACAACCCAGGCCTGCCTTGCTCGTAAATGTGAGTAGTCTTTCGCAAATGCGAAAATCCCTGTTCAGCCTTGGGCCGCAAATGCGACCCATTCTTCGCAATTCCCAAGCCGCAAATGCGACATGATGTTCGCAAATGCGAAGGTCCTATTTTCCTGAAGTATTCGCAAATGCGAACCCTGTTTAGCATTTCCCAACATAGCAGAGGTCGGGGTTCGCAATTGCGAACCCCTATTCGCATTTCCCATACCTGCGACCTACAACTTTATACTTAGACGATTTTAAACCCATTTTTCACATCTTTTCAAAACACAAACTCCTTTGGGCGATTTTCCGAAAACAACTCTTCTTCCAAATCGATTGTAAGTTAATTTTAACTCATTTTCTTCAATCATTAACATCTTTTAACATAATTTCAACTTAAAATCAATGATTTTCATGGGGGAAATTTGGTGTTTTGTGTAGAACCTAGGTTTTTCAAAAATTGGGGATTTGGACCTTGATTTGAGGTTCGATTTCAAAACAAATTATATATTTGGGTTCGTGGGAAAATGAGTAATCGTGTTTTGGTTCGAACCTCGGGTTTTGACAATGTTGGTCTGGGGGCGATTTTTGACTTTTTGTGCAAAACTTTGGAAAACTCATTTTTATGCATTCAAATTGATTCATTTGGCGTTTATTGATGTAATTAAGTAACTTGTGACTAGATACGAGTGAATTGGTGGTGGAATCAAGGGGTTAACCTATAATTGAATCGTGAATTGTGTTCGTGGCATCGAGGTAAGTGTTTGGTCTAACCTTAGATTGAAGGATTAAGAGTTGTGTCTTATTTGCTACATGTTAAATGTGGAGTACGACGTATAGGCATGGTGACGAGTATCTATACGTTGGTATCAAACATGCCCGTGAGCCTTGTATTATAATTGTTATGACCCAGTTGTGGTTTATTATGCTTCATATGTTATTATTATCATTGTTCCTTTGCCGTGATGTTTGGTTGATATTATTGTTCCCTTGCCGGGATATTGTTGAGATATCATTATTCTTTTGCCGGGATGTTTGTTTGATATTATTGTTCCCTTGCCGGGATATTGTTGAGATATCATTATTCTTTTGCCGGGATGTTTGTTTGATATTATGGTTCCCTTGCCGGGATATTGTTGAGATATCATTGTTCCCTTGCCGGGATGTTTGTTTGATATTATTGTTCCCTTGCCGGGATATTGTTGAGATATCATTGTTTCCTTGTTGGGATGTTTGTTTGATATTATTGTTCCCTTGCCGGGATTCCTTGTGATTATTGTTGGCTTGTAACTGGGAGTGGGTGGTACGCCTACCACAAGATATAATGAAATGGAAGCGGGTGGTACTCCTACCAGAAGGTATAATGAAATGGGAGCGGGTGGTATGCCTACCACAAGATATAATTAAATGGGAGCGGGTGGTATGCCTACCACTAGATATAAAGAAATGGGTGCTGGTAGTACGCCTACCACAAGATAAATGAAATGGGAGTGGGTGGTACGCCTACCACAAGATAAATGAAATGGGAGTGGGTGGTACGCCTACCATAAGATAAATGAAATGGTAGCGGGTGGTATGCCTGCCACAAGATATGAGAAATGGGATCGGGTTGCACGCCTGCAACAAGATGTGAAATGAATGTGTAATCTGCCTTTGTTTTCCCTATCCTTGTTAGTAGTTGGACTTTGATTCCCTATAATTCTTTTGATATTCTGTTTTTACCTGTTATTCCCCGAAGCATGTTCCCCTTCCTATCTTTAATTGTTTATTCTGCTTTACTTTCTGTTGTATATTATATATAACTGCACAAGTTTATTTGCTAGTCTGGTCCTAGCCTCGTCACTACTTCACCGAGGTTAGGCTAGACACTTACCATCACATAGGGTTGGTTGTGCTGATACTACACTCTGCACTATGTGTAGATCCCGGAGAAGCTATCGGACCGTAGTTGGAGGCTAACTTCACTCCACGTGGATATCCAAGGTAGACCTACAGGCATCCGCAGGCCCTGGCGTCTCATCTGTCTTCTATTCCCTGTTTCATTTTCCTTACTTCAGAAACAGTGTGTTGTTGTTTCTTCAGACTTTGTATGTAGTAGTCTTAGACCGTATGTGACACTGTGACACTAGGTTTTGGGTGATTAAGGCTTAAGTAGTTATAATATCTAAAGATTAAGATATTTTATTATTTTTCTTCCGCTTAATTAAATATTTTGCTATTTATACATTATCGGTTTATATCTGTTAAAAAGAATTTATTTGGATAATGGAGTAATTAGGTTAAAGGATCGGCTTGCCTAGCTCACATTAGTAGGCGCCATCACGACTCCCGAGGGTGAAAAATTCGGGTCGTGACAAGTTAGTATTAGAGTTTTAGGTTACATGAGTCTCATAGTTCACAGACAAGCTTAGTAGAGTCTGAGGGATAGGTACAAAGAGGTCTGTATTTATCCCCTAGAGGCTACAGAGCTAGGAACAACTTCACATTTATTCTCTCCTATCGTGCATTTTGGTTTCAATGCTAATTGAATTTATACTCTTTTCTTTCGCAGATGGCGAGAACACGCGCTTCCTCATCAACTGACCAGCAGCCCAAGCCCCTAGCAGCAGCTCCCACGAGGGGCCGAAGGCGAGTCCGAGGCCGTGCTAGAGGCCAAGGTAGGGGCAAAGCTCAGCCCCGAGCAGCAGTACCAGAGCCTCAGGTTGACTTTGATGATGAGGGTCCGTCCCCAGCAGTTATGGTAGGCCCAGTTCAGGTCATAGAGGGGTTTATTGCTATCCCAGTTCTTCAGGATGCTTTGGTCCGTCTGATGGACCTCATGGAGAGTGTCACCGAGTATCTTGCTTCATGTAGCACCAACCATCTCACAGGCTGGAGGAGGAGCCTAGACTCCTGCTACTCGCACTCTGGAGCAGGTAGCTCCCCAGTTTCAGACTCCAGCGGTTCAGCTAGTTGGCGCAGTTCAGCCGGATGTGGTAGCTCAGACCGGTGATGGTGCAGCTATGTTTGCCGATGCTTTGTGGAGGTTGGTTAGGTTCACCAAGCTCTTCACTACTACTTTCAGCGGTGCATCTACTAAGGATCCCCAAGATTATCTAGACAGATATCACGGGGTTCTTAGGAAAATGGGGATAGTTGAGACTAATAGGGTCAATTTTGCTACTTCTCGCTTATCTGGATCCGTCAAGACTTGCTGGAGGGATTATTGCTTAACTAGACAAGTCGGATCGCCATCCTTGACTTGGGAGCAGTTTACGTAGATATTTCTGGAGAAGTTTCTCCCGATCACCCAGAGAAAGGCCTATCGGAGGCAGTTTGAGCGCCTGCAGCAGGGTTCTATGACTGTTACCCAGTATGAGACCAGATTCATCGACTTGAATCGTCATGCTCTTATCATACTTCCCACCGAGAGAGAGAGAGAGAAGGTGAGGAGGTTCATTGATGGACTTATTCAGCCGATTCGTCTTTAGATGGCTAGGGAGGCAGGGAGTGAGATATCTTTCCAGGAGGCGGCCAATGTGGCCAGGAGAGTGGAGATGGTTCTGTCACAGGGAGGTTATCATGGGTTGGACAAGAGGCCCCGTCATTCAGGCAGATTCAGTGGTTCCTTGTCTGGAGGTAGGGATTTGTATGGTAGAAGCCATCATCCTAGGCCTTTTCAGTGAGCACTTCATGTT